GAATCTGCCACAGAGGCCAGGGGAAAAACCTGGCTGTCCAGTGACAAGGTTGATGAATGTTAGCATTTATACATACTGCTTGAAGGTTGGCAAAGCACTTTACAAATATCTCTTTTTATCCAGCATCCTTTGAGGAGCTGGGCCTCTTTGGCTTCTGAGTTGTGGAGATGAGAAGAAGAGTCCTGGAGTGAGGCTTGGCCTGAACTATAGAAGTGGGCACAAAGCTCCTGAGTGGAGTCTTTGGGAGAGAAATTAACTGGAGGGATGCCAGCTCTGCAGCATCTGCACCAGCTGTGCCTCCCCTCATAATGCTCAAAGAGATTTAAACCATTTATTGTTTGTTTGTGTCTTGTTGTAGGAAAGGTAGCATTTTTAGGATGTTGAAGTGATTTAGGTAGGGCTGAAACATCTGTCTTTTTATTCAGTATCTTCATGAAAAGCTTAATGATTATACTTATTAGGTGCTGAATCCAATATTGGTCCCAGCACCAAGTAACACTAAGAGATAACCAATACTGCCCTCAATGCCTCTGTATTTGCTCTCGTAAAAAAAAAATTGGGTAAAGCCTCAGCTATCAGGAAAGCCGATCCTTCCATCCATGACCCAGTTCAGGGATTTACCTTTTAGGTATTTTCTAAAGTAAATGTCACTCAGTGGGATTTACTGATTTCCTGGGCAGTATTTGAGCTCAGTGGGGACATACTGCCCAACCACCCTGAGCTGGCTACTCAGAAACTGTGTCTGTTTTAGAAGTTAACCCCAAATATTTCAACAACATGTCCTTTGGAGTTACTATTGGCAACCACAGAGCATCTTCTTTAGAGTATCCCCAGGGCTCCCAGGCTCATCAAATTATAAACTGATCCCAAGACCCACGGATCAAAGAATGAATTGATATAAGAACCACAGCATGTGTACCCCTTTACCAGAGCTTCACTTGTGGTCATTCTACTATAATTAGAGAGGTGGAGGTAGGAGATCTACATTCTAGCACTTGGCTACCATTCTCCCACCTCCCATCCCACCAACTCAGTACCCCAGAGAAGGGCAGGGCCACCATAGGACTCTGTGCTTAAAATATTTTATTAATGAAGTTGTTTAATACAGTCAAGCAAAACAAATCAACACATTATCCTCATCTAAAAATGTACGACTCATTCTACACTTACAGTTTACCATCCCACTGCTGAGGCACACTTTACCATCTGAAATTCTCATTGTTCCAAGTTTCTCTGAGAACATGCAAGTTGTTTTCTTACTTCTGCTTACTTTACTTTGTATCAGTTCATAAATCTTTCCATGTTTCTCTGAATCCCTCATATTTATTATTTCTTATGGGACAATAATGTTCCCTTACATTCACATGCCACAATTTGTTGTATTTTTTAATTTTTTATTTAAATAATATTTTGTTTTCCCCAATTACCTGTAAAAATAATTTTAGAAAATGTTTGAATTTCAAAGTCTCTCCCTCTCTTCCTCCCTCTCTCAGATGAAGAACAATTTGATATAGTGTACCACAATCTGTTCAGCCATTCCCAAATCCATGGGCACCCACTTCCTTTCTGGTTCTTTATTACTGCGAAAAGTGTTGCTATCCACTTGTTGAAGTATCAAAGAATGGAAACAACTACAGGGCCATCCATGAAGAAATGGCCAAACCGTGAAAATGAATGTAAAGAGATATCACTGGGCTATAAGAAACGATGAATAAGAATTCAGAGAAGCATGGGAAGACACATAAATTGATGTGGAGTGAAGAAGTAGGAAAATAGCATAATTACTACAAAAATGTAAATGGAATGAACAAAAATTGAAATTGAACACTGTGTAATTTTGACAATCTAAATAACAATCGCTATAGTGCTTAAAAGTTTATAAAGCACTTACATATATTATCTCAGGTGAGTCTCAGAACTAGCACTGTGAGGTAACTGACATCATTATCCACTTTTTACAGATAAGAAAACTATGACTGTGAGAGGTTGAGAGACTTGTCCAGGGTCATACAACTAGTAAGTAGTATTCAAACTCGGGTTTTATACCTTCTCCCTTTTTTTTTTTTTTGCAGAGATGGGGAAATGATGGGAAGGAAACATTTCATTTGTTGTCAGACTCAACTGAAATGTTAGTTTTGTTAAAGTGGCTTTTCTTTTCTCCTCTTTCTTTTTTATTCCCTACTTCAAGGGATGGGCTCACTTAGGGGCAGAGGGAGAGGATATATTTTGTTAAGAACCCAGTGTAAAAAACAAAAGATTTCAATAAAAAATCAGGCGTTCAAAAATAGGGCTGCTATAAATATACTTTCATATATGGGATCTTCTCCTCTTTGACCTCCCTTGACTGTTACACCTCATGGTATAACTGAGCCAAAGAGTACATACAGTTTAGTGACTTCTTCGGTACAATTCAAGATTATTTTCTAGAGCAGCTGGACTAATTCATATCTCCCCGCATAGCTCTATCCACAGTGGACCATAGAACTACCTTGATGCTTAGAGTTATCCCCAGAACCACTTTTCTATCACTTCTTAATACAGCTAGCAGCACGATGGATCTAGGATTTTTTGTAGGGATGCAGTAGTGACCAAGGGAAAGAGGGAGCCAGTAGAACACCTTTCCCTTTCCCACTGAGAAAAACAAGCATTTCCTGATTTAGAGGGGAGAACTATCCTTACCAACTAATTAGGAATGCCACTCAACTAAAAGCTACATACCATAGGCTAATTAAAAAGACATGGCAGCTGGTCTCAAAATCCTGCAGAATGACAAAGATGGAAGAGAAGTTTTCTGAGCAGCAAGACATTTGAAGGAGATAGTGCAGTATGGGGGTGAAGAGAATCCAAAAGACCTGGGTTCAGGTTTTCCCTCTAACATATACTGGCTGTGTGACCCTAAGGTTAAGTCACTTAACCACACACTGCACCATGTAACTCTAAGATTACAGGACGGAGACAAGTAGTAGCTCTGCATTGGTGAAGGGAGTTTCCACAACAGGAGTTCACAGATCCTGACTACCCCTCAACATCAATAACAAAAAAAGTGTTAAATTTGATACTTGTACAGGAAGAAACTAAGTGTATCTGACTCAGAGTGGTCAACTCTGTAAAGATTTTATGTCCTTCCCCCATTAGTTGGAATGCCCCTTACTTTGAACCTTCATCACTGATAGGAAGAAATAGTAATTATATCCAAAGAAGCCATGGACCAGATGGTGAAATAAAAGACAGTTTAATATGTCTTATTAAGACATCCCCCCCACACACACACTTAAAAATAGCCAATTACTTAACGCAAAAAGACCTTACAATTATTTTTAGATTCTATGATAAGCTGATTCCCAAAGCTAATGAAACATGTAGTTTAAGTTGCACTGTGTGGCATTTACCGAGACAAAGGCTTGAAAAACTGATATGTTTTGTTACTTCCAGGTAAATCTTCAATCTAGTATAGACAAATCAATACTGGAGCAAATTGGAATTCAGAAGTGCCCAGGAATATGTTAATTATCTTATGAGCTCTATCCATCCATCCCTCCCTCCCTCCATTCATCTATCCATCCATCCATCCATCTATCCACCATTATCCCATTACATTTTGTGAACGCCTATAGCAGAAAAGAGCACCGGATTTACAGTCAGAGGCTGGAGCTTCCAATCCAGAATCTTCAGCTTCCTCTCCATGTAACCTTAGGCAGAGAGTCACTTCACTCTTCTAAAGCTTCAGTTTGCTCATTGGTAAAAAGTAGTCACTGGCCAAGATGATCACTAAGATGTCTTCCAGTTTTAAGTGCTATGAGTCTCTGGATTAGAAAGCAGTCCACTAGATAAGACTATGCTCTTTAAGGTAGATGTTAGCCCTCAAAAGAAAATTCCTTAGTTCTTGATTTGGGCAAAGGATGGGTCAGGAAGGAAAATAGGGGAAGGATAGGTAGTAGGTGATTGACCAAGTGAAATTTAAACTAATATCGATCTAACTAGAATAGTTGTTCACCTAGTAGCTCTCATTCTTCCAATATAGCAACTAATAAAGATTTAATAGTATATATTAATCAGGGAAGTTCATGGACAGATGAAATACCATGGTAATATCAGATTTCTAAGAGAAAAGAGCTCATAGTTAATTGTGGATTCCAAGCTCACTACAGGAAAGATTAAACTGTGAAAATTAAAATCCTAGATGTGACCTAAAATAAAGGCCTGGAAAGTGGTAGGTGGAATTCTCAAAAGTCAATTACATGGCAAACCAAATGAATGAATTCATTAGAACTACAACATCCAATATTTCCAGATTTTCCTTCATTTTACAGGATTTAGATATAAGTTCCGAGCAACATTTTTTATGCTTAACAATCAGCACCAAGCACTCATAATGTAAATTATTAATGTGAACTTCTCCCACCACACTATGTTGTTTCCTTAATATTTACAAAGTGCTCCATACCATACATACATCTTTAATAATAGTTCTTGCTTTCAATACTATCAAAGACCTTTCTTTAATTCTTTCAATTTATCTAACACCATGGTCTACTATAAAAGCATTTTTATGCTTTGAACACTCTTAAGGTCTTTGAGAGCAGGGCTGAGTTGTGTTTTAAAAATCTTTATATCCTAACCACCTAGCACTTAGTAGGTGCTTAATAAACATTTGCATGGTTGATCCATCATTATTTCTGAAATCCATAGGGTCTACTTCTAGGATGAGGACAAAATTTTAATATATATGCCTGTGTACATGTGTGTATATTTATGTAAACACATGTATTTGTATATAAGATATGTTAGTTATGCCAGTAATTGTTTTGGTGCAGCTGTCTTTTGGGACCCTCTTTTTCAGCAATCTTTAAAAAGATACAAATTATCTCTAAGAACATTTACTTATTGTTAAGTGTCCTTCTTTATACACAACTGTTAATGAGAAAAAACAGAAAATACAGAACAAAGCAAACTATTTGTAAGCGCCACCAAAAGAAGGAATATCATTATATTCAACTTACTTTTTCATTCCATGCCCAGAGTCCAATTCCAAGAAACGCTATGCCCAAGAACTGAAAGAAACAAATAAAGCCATGTGAGCAGTGTATACAGATGATGTTTCTACGAACATAAATGAAAAATTCAGTTTTTTAAGCAATTCTTTTTTCACTTTGAAAAATCTGCTTCTTCAACAATGTGAATTTCAGTCTTTCATAGGGAGAGAAATCACACAAATCATTTCACCATTAACCAGGATTGAATGAAGCAATTTGGGAGGCTCAGGATACTTAGGTATCTGGAGGTCCATCATTCTATTAGTAATAGATAGGTAACAAAAATCATCAATCATGCCTTATGTGTCCAGATCCAGCATGAGGGGTCTATAAACTACAGTTATTGCTCTGACTTTAAGCTGTATCCCTAAAATATAAGTTCTTTGAAAGGAAATTACATACATATATTATACAGATATATAAATATACTTATATATACACTGAATAATGATCAGATTTTTGCCTGAAAATGTACTTCCCCCAAAAGCTTATTTCTTTCAATTAATAAGATGTTTTATTGATTTTTATCATAACTACTCTCTCCATCTTTGTCCCTTTCACTGAACTTTCTTAATGAGAACATTTGCATTAACCAAATTTTGGGGAAGAAAAGTATGGCTTATATTCAGAGCAATAAAGTATAGTGTTTGGGTTTAGGAGCCATGATTTCCACTCATCTGCCCCCTTAATCTGTGCCTGACGATGATTTAGTTTCTTTCAGGTTCTGGATTAAGGAGAACAATTCTGAAAGCAACAGTGTTGGTTTTCACTACTATAGTGACTTCATTCATGATTTCAGGTCTGTTTCCCATGCCTGGAATTCACTCTCTCCTCATCTCTACCTGGCTTCCCGGTCTTCCTTCAAGTCCCACCTGAAATCTCATCTTCCTTGAGAAGCCTTTCCAGATTCCCCCTTAATACCCAGTTCTTTCTTCTGTTGGTTATCCTTAACTTGTCTCGTAGATAGCTTGTTTGTCCATAGTTGTCCATAGTTGTTCACATGTCCTCTACTCTTTTAGACTGAGCTCTTTGAGAGTGAGAGCTATCTTGGCCTTTCTTTGTTATTCCTTGCACTTAATACAGGGCCTGGCACAGAGTAGGTACTTAATAAATGCCTGTGACTTGAATTGACTCAGTGTATTATAAAACAGCATGTACTGAAGCCATCCCACTGTCTGTTCAATCAGCTCCTTACAGGAGATAATAGGACCCTAGGTTTAGACTCTCAGGTGCCTTTTAGCTCTATCTAGAGACTAACCCCCTACTTTTTACACATTAAAAAATACAAAGGGGGCAGCTAGGTGGTGCAGTGGATAAAGCCCTGGCCTTGAAGTCAGGAGGACCCGAGTTCAAATCCAGCCCCAGACACTTGACACTTACTAGCTGCATGACCGTGGGCGAGTCACTTAACCCCAACTGCCTCACCAAAAAGCAAAAAAAAAAAATACAAAGGCCTAGACAGGGGGAAGGTCCAGAGTCTTAGAGGCAAATGAGAAAGGCAGAATTTGAACCAGGTCTTTTGATTCCAAAGCTCACACTCTTTCTACTGTATCCTACAATCTCATTATCACTCAGTAAAATGTGTCCAAGGATTATGTGCAACAAGAATCCCAGAACACTTATTTTTGCAGTCTGCTATTTTTTAAAAAAATATCATTGATACCTCTGTTCTTAGGTCATGTGGATTTCCCAATGTATCCCCCTCCCCCCACCAGACAATCAAAGACTCTTATAACAAAGGAGAACAGAGGAGGGAAAGAATAGTTCAATAAAACTAATCAAGATAAGCCCACAAGTCTGAAATACAGAGTAGCCCACACCCATGGCCCCATCCCTGCCTCTGTGGAGTGAGAGGCATTCCTAGAAATATTTAGAGGTCTTCAGAGACTCTAAAAGACTTAGGTCATTGTGCTATATCTTATTACTGGTCTGGGCTTACTTTGATAACCTTTTGACCAAATGGAGGTAATGAAAAGGTTCAATAAACAAATATAATGAATAAAACAGGGGTAAAAAAACCCCACCAAAACCAAAGTTCACCCAACTGAGCCATTTCAAAGGCTACAGCATAAATTTTTTGTACTTCACAATACAAAGGGATTCACGGGCCAGGAGGATCCATGCTACAAGTTGTCATTCTTCTTTCAAGTCTGGTTAGAGGATGACAGACCTACCCAACAATTCCCCCAAATCCAAAATCCGGCCTAAATTCCAAAGACTAGAGACTGAAAACTTCAGCTTTGCCATGGCAACACTTTGAGCTTTTAGCCTGTAGGGTTTCCAGCACTTTTCACGGGGCTTGGAACACAAATGCTGGTTAACTAACTCACTACATGAGGCCTTTACAAAGTGATCGGTAGTTCAGTGACTACAAACATCAAAATTATAGCACCCTTAACATACAAGGCAATCATTTAGCCCAATATAGGGCTGTAATCACTTTAGACATTATCATAACAACATTTTGATCACCTATCAATCAAAAGGTTTCCTCCCATAAAGAGGAAGTTGAGTTTCTGTACGATAGAATCTGCTGTATCTAATCAAGTCAAGTCAACTGTTGATTCATTAGGAAGAAAACTGTTTAAAATGATGAAACTATAGCAAAATGGTGTCTCTTAGGCTGTCACACCCTCAAATATTAATTTTTAAAATCTAAAATAACATTACTTTCCAGTCAAATGATTTAAAATGTGTGACTTACAGCATAGAATAAATATAAAAGAGAGCCATTTAGTTTTTTTAACTTGCTTGCTGACAAACATGATGGGGAGTAAGGTAAGGTAATAATTTACAAATAGACCACTAGCCAACTCACATTTACAGTGTTCTAATTTTAAAAGCAGGTGGGGGGGTGAGTTTCTTTCTTTTTCTTTCTTTCTTTCACGACCTCTGCTTTGAAAACAGAAACAGACTCAGAGGAAGGCAAGCAACCTGCCCAAAGTCAAATGACTAGTAAGCGGTAAATCTGGAACTCAAAGCCGTGTCTTCTGAATCCCTGAGTTCTAGTCCCACTGTCCTTTTCAAACATGCACTTATGTGTGGAATTAGGAACAAGTCACAGTAGTAGAAGATGGTATACTGGAGAATTGGGGGGGGGGTGGAAAGAATGCTGTATAGTCAGGAGAGATGAAGCTTGAATCCCCCAATCACGGGCAAGTCACTTACCATCTCAAACCTCAGTTTCCTTATCTTTAAAATGGGGATAATGATACCTGTCACACCTATCTCATGGGGTGGCAGTGAGGAGTTTGTGAGAGGAAGGACACAAAGCATTTTACAACAGAATATAATTTATGATACTATCCAGTTCAAGTCCCCAACTGTACACTGGAAAGCTGAGAGCATTCAAGGTGGATATAGACAGTTAATTATCTATCCCATTTTCAAAGATCTCAAGGGGCAGGCCCTTGGCAGCCTGTTCTAATGTTTAATCACTGTCATCACCGAAGGAAAAAAAAAAGACAGATTTAAATGGCTTAGAGCAATACAGCCATGTGCCCCAGTGGAATTTCTTCTGACCAGCACTCTTAATGCTTGGGACCCCTGCCTGGTAACAGCACAAGGATATTTCCTCTGTGTTGCAGGGAGCTGAAAAGTTTGGATTACATGAGGCATGGCCAGGGCATCACAGATGCTTTCCCTAGCCAGTAAAGGGAATTTGAATGGATGATGGAGAAATGTTGCCCTTCCGTCCAACTTGGGTATAGGATTAACAATCCTGATCTAGAAATGAGATCCTCAAAAGGAGTTGGAGATAGAATGATGTAGGATGTCAACTGGAGCTTTCTCCTGTTTTAGCAATGCCTCTACTTGGGTTTATAATTTTCCTGAAAACATTATCTTTCAAGAACCCTGTAAACAACCTAAATACTAATGGTTTTGCCAAAATAGTAAGAGAATAAAGAAAGAGCACTAGTATTTAAATAGAAAATGAACTAACTCCAGGAAAAAGGCAATGTAGTCATCTGTGGGCAGCATTGGCTCAAAAATGGCACTTTCCACACAATGTCACATGGACTTCAAATAGATTGAGTTTAATATAAAGAAAAAAACATTCAACACCTAGCAATGCTTTTACCTGGCCAAAAGAAAAAAAAACACAACACATATAGCGTTGGAGGCACACTTAGCTCATCTGAAAAATTAGAAAAGGTTGACCTCATTCTGAGACCCAGGAAGGTTAATTTGCAGTGAATACAGTTTCAAAGATTTAGAATCAACACTTAATTCCTCTACAAAGGAAACATAAAACCACTACTTCACAACTCTATGGTATTTCTAAATGATATGGGAACTATCAGTCTAATGTCATGAGGAAGCCCTGTGTGAGGATGCCTTTTGGAGTGAAATGAACACCAATCGACTGCCAGAATACGCCTCCAAACCTGAAACTGAATTCAAATCTTGGCTTTGCTCTTTCCTTCCCCCATGACTTTGAGCAAGTAACTAGCTTCCTCACTCTGGCTGTCAGTTCCTTCATCTATAAAAATGAAGATGTGAGGGGTAGCTAGGTGGCATGGTGGATGGAGAAAAAGCCCTGTAGTCAAGAGGACCTGAGTTCAAATCCAACCTAAGACACTTGCTAGCTTCGTGATCCTGAGCAAGTCATTCAACCCTGACTGCCTCCCTGCTGCAAAAATGAGGATGCTGCAAGTAGCTGATCTTTAAGGGGCTCCTCCCAGTTTTTGATGCTATTATCTTTTTGCACATTAAATATATACTTTCTCAAAGGATAAGATCATAACTTGAAATGAGATTTCAGAGATCATCTAATCTAACCCCTTTGTTTCATTAATAAGGATACTAAAGGCCAGAAAAGGTAGTTAGGTGTCTAGCAGAAGGAATGAAATCACAAGAGCTATAAGCTTCAGGAAGAGGATTTGAACTCAAGGTTGACTTCAGAGTCAAAGCTCTGCCTGTGCAGTTAATAATTATTAATCACTTAAAAAATGATAACCAGTTACTAGCTATGTGACCCTGGGCAAGTCACTTAATCCAGATCACTTCACAAAAAT